GTACTATAGAGGTCAGGCAAAGGATTTCCTTTTCAATGAATAGTCATGAATGAACTGATTTTCCATGTGGGCTACAAGCAAAATTTGTCTGAAACCCACTTTCAATATTTCTTTCAGGAATACTCTGCTTGTTGGTATAGTTTTATTTCCCATCAAATGATTGTCATTTAATAATTTTTTTTATTTTTATTAAAATATATAATTATATAATTGATGATTGCTCTTGAATTACTTACCCAGCATCTACTCCAACATAAAGCCCTAGAGATTAAGAACTTTGTATACTTTGCTTAGTTTTCTACCTCGAGTGTCTAGAAATTTAGGGGCACAATGGTAAGTCCTTCAATCAATAAATAAGCATATACATTTTTCAAGAGTGAAAAGATCACTTACCCCTTAAATCTAGCCTATGAAGGATGAAGAGAGTTTTGTCAGGAAAGGTGGAGATGGGGCAATTGTTTGAAATACATTCCAGATGGAGGACAAAGCAAATGCAAAAGGTATAAGATATGTGCGGGAGAGCTGGGCCTGGTATGATCCCAGCACTAGGGAGGTTAGAGTAAGAAGATCTTGAGTTCAAGGTATGTAGCAAGACCCCTTCAAAGAACTTTAAAAACGTGGGCAAAGGGAGCATTAAGCACTATTCTGACTGAGACAACTCCCCAGATCTCTAATTAGGATCCAGAAGAGATTTCAGCTCCTTAATAGTCATTGTAGAACAGTTCATAATAGCTAAGATATGGAAACAAACATTCATAGATTTGCCTAAAGAAGGATAAATGGATAAAGAAACCTGAAATATATCTTTCCTAGTTTCATCTCTGTTGCTATGATAAAATACTCCAACAAAAAACACTTTAAAGGAGAAAGGATTTTTATGGCTTATAAGTCCATGTTACAGCTCATCATAACAGGAATATCAAAGCAGTAGGAACTTAAAACAGCTACTCACATCACATCTACAGACAAGAGCAGAGAGAAATGAATGCATGCATGCTCACTGCTCAGCTCTCCACTCTTTTTGTTGTGTGTATGAGTGTATTGCTTGCATGTATGGAAATGCACCTGTGTCATGCAATGCCCTTGGAGGTCAGAAGAGGACATCAGATCCCCTAAGGATGGTTGTTAGCTACTATATGGGTGCTGGGAATTGAACACAGGTTGTCTGCAAGAGAAGCCAGTGCTCTTAACCACTGAGCAATCTCTGCAGTCCCTCCCTCTCCACTCTTACATAATCCAGGACCAAAATCTAGGAGACGGTGCCACCCACAGTGGGCTGGGTCTTCCCATATCCATTAACATAATCAGGACAGTTCCCCCACAGACATGCCCACAGACCAGCCTGATCTATACAGTCCCTCACTGAGACTTGCTTCCTAGACGATTCTGTGTTGTGGCAAGTTGACAATTAAAACTAACCATCACGTGTAACCTTTACAGTTTGAGAAGCAAAATATTTTTTCTGATCTGAGTTACTATACCCCTAGACCTACAGCATCAGAATACATTAGAAACTTGCTAAGAATGCAAATTATTTGCTCCACTTGAACCAGAATTTCTCTGGCTCCATAATCTGCTTTAGCAAATAAACTTTAATATCAAGTGTTAAAGAAGGTAAATAATCACTGCTCTTTTTTTTTTACCATGATCTTAACTTTAATTTGATAATCATCAATCCAAACATCCTATCTTTAAACAACTAGCCATTTTGAATTTTAACTTACTTAAGCAAATGATTTTCAGCACAGCAATTTTATTTCTAATCCAATGGAATCCAGGGAGGTTAGAGAAGGGGCCAATAAAAGTCCATGATATTATTGTGTTAGTCACTTCTCATCACTGTGACCAATTCCTGAATTAAACAACTTAGAGGAAAGTTTGTTTTAGCTGCTGCTTTCAGCCCATGCTTTCTGACTGCATTGTTTCTGAGGTGATGCATCACGGTAAAAGGGAATGGCCACCAAGCAAAGCTGCTCACAGGAATGCAAAGGAACATTAGAAATAGAAAGCAAGGGTCTAGGGTTAAGTATCCTTCAGTGTTATGACCCTAATGATCTGCTTCTTCTAACTAGACCCTACGACCTGGTAATCCATTCACTATGAATTCATCAGTGGATTAATGCATTGGTGAAGTTAGAGGTCTCATGATCTAGTCATCATTCAGTAGCCCATCTGCTTGACCATGATGTAGATTCAAAACATAACAGTTACCTATATATGGACAAAACTTTACTTATGACAAGAATTGGACCACTTCTGTACTCAAGCTGGAGATACTAAATCGTATGCTGGTTGGCCATAGAAACATGTTTTCTTCTTAACTTGAAGCCCCGCAATTTTGTTCTTAGGTTTTTTTTATATCTATTCTAAAAGCTACAAGCTAAAGACTTGAAAATCTTTACTCCTCTTTAGAAACATTAAATAAGGTCACTTTAGAAATTCTCTATTTTCATTCTGAGATTTACATCTCCATTTAAACACTAGGGAAGATTTATCCTTTTAACAAATGGTCTTATTTTATTATATATTGTCCTAGTTTGTTTCTTCATTGCTGTGACAAAACACTCTGACCACTACCAACTTGGGTTGGGGAGGAAAGGGTTTATGCAGCTTACAACTCCCAGGTCACAGCTCACCAGGGAGCCCAAGGTAGGAACTCAGGGCAGGAACCTGGAAGCAAGATCTGGAGCATAGGCCATGGAGGAACTCTGCTTACTGGCTTGCTCCCTTGGCCCCTGCTCAGCCTGCTTTCTTATGCAACACAGGGCCACCTGCTCAGGGGTGACACCACCCACAGTGGGCTAGGCCCTCCCACATCACTCATCAAGAAGATGTCCTTCAGACATGGCCACAGGCTAGTCCAACAGAGGCAATTCCCCGACTGAAGCTCCCTCAACCCAGGTGTGTCAAGTTGACAGTAAAGCTATCCAGCACATATATATTGAAGAAGATATCTAACACATTTTTTTTGCTTGTTTTGAGACAGTTTCTTGTTTCTCAAGCTGACCTTGACCTTGTGATCTTCTTACCTCAGCTTCTTGAATGCTAGAATTTCAGACACATGTCACCATTCCCAGCCAGTATGATATTCTGAAGTCTGTCTTTATATCAGCAAATTTTTGGTATTCAAAACACTACTACGGACTGTTGTTCTTTCACTATGCATCACATCTCTAGTCTTGCTCATCCCAAATAACTGTGAGTCAGTACTTTTTGAGCTATAGTTCCTGGCTCCTCCTTTCCTGCCCATGGTAACCATTATTCTATTTTTTGTTTTTATGTATTTGATTTTTCAAGGATTAATGCTTCTTTTCAGATTCAAGTAGAGGGATGCAGAGAAGAATTTCTGGAGAAAGATCCTTGAGTAACACCAGCAACCCAGCCACCTGCAGCAGAAGAAGCTGGGGTAGGAGACCCAATAATAACCCACAGAACAAAGGAAATTCCTCACTTCTTTAAACTCTTAAAGAGGGCTGGAGAGCTCTGATCTCAGTCATTTAATAAGGGTAGCAGGTAGGATAGAGGGTTGTGACTTAGACTGCTATAGGCCTACAGGGCAGAAAGCCCTGCCTTACCTTGGGGCAGTTACATCCTGGGAATTTAGCAGTTTGGTGAAGGGCCTGAGTTGAGAAAGAACCTGCAAAGGGCCATGGCTAATCCCATTTACAGCAGAAGCATCTAGGATCTAACAGTAAGACCATGTAGTATTTTTCAGTCTGTATCAGGCTTATTTCATTTAGCAATATGCCCTCCAGTTTCATCCATTTTGCTATAAATGACAGGCACTCCTATTTTAAGGCTGAATAATATTCCATTGTATAAATACATACATATTTATATAATTTCCATTCATCTGGTTGCAGAGACTTCAGTTGTTTGAAATCTTGGCTATTGCAAAGAACTCTGTAATGAGCTTAGGAGTGCAGCTATCTCCTGCAGGTCCTGATTTCATTTCTTTTGGCTAAATTCCTAAAATAAGTAGTGCTGGGTCGTATCTTGACATTGGGTTTAGCAAAGATATTTTGGAAATACTGAAAACAAAAAATAGAGAAACGGGAGCTCACCAAGCAGAAAAACGTCTGAACTACAAAGCAGTCTACAGATCAGGAGAGAATGTATAAGCCATATATCCAAAACGTTACGGAGTTTACACAATTCAATAGCGAACGTATCTAAACAGAACCCCGAACAGAAAGCTCAAATGCCCAAATCGCAAATGAGCTAAAGTATCTGAATGAACATTTTCCCGAAGAGGACATACAAACGGCCAACAAGCGTGTTGACCACATGCTTGGCATCTAACCGTCAGGGAAATGTTGATCAAAACCGGATGAGGCATCACCTCTCACCAGGTATGATAGCTATTATCAAAACGGCAAGAACCAAGTGTTAGTAAAGGTGTGGCGAAAAGGGGATCCCTGGTGCACTGATTCTGAGAACATAAATTGCAGTTTTTGTGGAAAACAGCTTGGCGTTTGCACAAAAGCATTGAAACTAGCTCTTTCTTTTTCTAGTTACTGTTTTGTTATTTTGGCTTACTGTTCCAGAGGGAATAAAGACATGGCAAGGAAGTCATGGCAACAGTAGAGCGAGGTGGGCCTGGCAGTCAGCAAACAGAGATGTGTCAACCTTCCTCCTTTGTGAAGTTCAGCCACTGCCTCTTCCTTTCACTTTGTTACTAGCGACCAAAGCCTAGAGCTGCAGGTGCTGAACTCGCAAAGGGCAGAGACAAGGGGGCGGGGGCGTCCTTCCCAGGCCGGGGCCTTCCAGCCTGGGCTGGCGCAGGGCATCCCAGCTCCAGAATCCGCACTCTGCTCTGCGGCTGCGCCGGTCTCTGGTGTGCAGTGGCCGGGTGCGCTGCCCGGGACTGTCCCGGGGACCAGCAGGGGGCGCCGCCGGCCGCGGGGGTTTTTGCAGGGAGAGGAAGTGCCTGCGGTCCGGCCTGGGCCAGTCCCCGCCAGCCCCGGGTCCACCCCAGAGCCGCCTGGGCGGGCAGCGCGGGCGGTTCCGGGTCCTGTGACTCCCGTGACCGTGTCGCGGCGCACGGAGGGCGAGCGTGGCCTGCAGCCTTGGGGAAGTATCGCGGCCCCGGGCAGCTCCTCGGCTGGACCGGGGAGCGCGGAGCCCAGCGCAGGCCGATCCGCGGTGCCCATGGCGGGCGAGGGCCCCGGGGTACCCGGCGCGACCGCCACCGCGGCGCCCGAGACCCGCGAGCACCTCTTCAAGGTGCTGGTGATCGGCGAGCTCGGCGTGGGCAAGACCAGCATCATCAAGCGCTACGTGCACCAGCTCTTCTCGCAGCACTACCGGGCCACCATCGGCGTGGACTTCGCGCTCAAGGTCCTCAGCTGGGACCACAGGACTCTCGTGCGCCTGCAGCTGTGGGACATCGCGGGTAAGGGTGTCCCGGGGCCTGCAGACTCTCAGCTCCTCTCTGCCTCCTCCTCTCTCTCTTCTCTGCCGGCACTGTAACTTTAGAAGACAACAAAGGAAAAGGGAAGATAAAGTGGGATGTGGTCCAGGGACCCCCTGGGGTCAGAGGATGGGCACAGTTAAAGAAACAGCTCTGCATCCCTGCCCTGCTAAATCGAAGTCCCTGGAAAGTCCTCTTGTCTTACGGCGATAAAAAGGAAGCTCTTTGGGGGGCGCCTCTCTGGCATGGCAAGATGTGAGGAAGGCTGCAGATCTGTTCCCTAAGGCTTAACTCTGATGACAAGATTATAAAATACCCCTGGAGGAGCGGAAGTGGTCCAGGAAAGTCAGTTTTGGGAGACCCAGCCTCTCTGAGGCATCACTGAACTTCAGAGTGACTGGAGGACTTGCTGAAGGTTTCAGTCTTGGTTAGTGGCACAACCAAAGCCAGGTTTCTTTTCAGCATATTTTTCCCCAGCCACCTTGGGTCTGTGCCCCACCAATGTGAGAGTTTTCTCTCTCCTGACTAGGAAGATGAAGAAGATAAGAAATTTTAATTGGGATTAATGACAGACAAGCTTATACTTTACTAGGGAGAGTTGGAGCTGTGGGTGAGAAGGCTTGGACCAGAGCCCAGTCTTTGTGAGGGACATCCATTCCTCAAATAGTTTGCTCTCTCACTTGGCAGGCCAAGGGCACCCTGGAAAGTTCTGAAACCGCCCTGCTGCCTGCCTCTCCCTAAACCAATACCTATGTGTTCCCCTGGTCCCTTCCCCACCCCACAAACATGGTGTTGTTTCCCTGGCCTTTGCTTTTAATTGTTAACTCTGGAATGAAAGAAACATTCTCTTTGAGGGACTAAGTGCTACCCATACTACCATATATGAACACCTGCGTTCCAGCTAGTGGAGTGGGTGGGAAGAGAGTAGTTAACAAGAGATGAACTTTTGTAAAGTTTAAGTATGGAAATGGTAGCAAAGGTTACCCTGTTCAGTCATCGCAAGTGTTCAGAAGTGCTGTCTGCCACAGAGCTCTTGAATGGGAGCTTTGTAAAGACTGGAGGGCACCTTACTATCCTTCCCACAGAGTGCATACTCCCACACTTGGGGAGGATAAAGAGGGAGTGGGGGACATGGCTTGCCTTCTGCCTGCCAGGTAGTGCCCTCTTCCTTCATAGCCATTCCACATGTTGAAGTGTTGAAGAATTAGAGAATTTATCGTCATTAGCTTAAGAGCAGATTTTTCTCACTCAGATAAGAAAATACATTTATACACATCAATCCCTCAGAAAGTCATTTGGCCTTGAGCTCAGCTTTTCTTTTCTTTTCTTTTCTTTTCTTTATTTTCTTTTCTTGTTTTTTTTAAAGTTACTCCCAAACTAAAAATACGTTTGAAACATAATCTTTTAAAGCCAGAAGCATCTTTCGAAACACTTCCTGCTGTTGCCCAGAACACTAGTGAATCTTATATTGCTTCTTGACAAGGCCTTGCATCCTAAAAGTTGCCTCACCATGCAAGGGTTATCATCCAGTAGTGTCCAGTGCAGTTTTCCTGCAAGGATGATTTGAAATCCCTGCCTAGAATAGTGCTTGACTTTGTTTTGTGTGACTTGATATGATGGTAGGTATTAAAGTATTAAGCTATGTTTGGAGATTTGAGAAAATAAGTTTTATTTCTATATATCATCTCTGTTGTTCTCACTCCCCCTTTATACACTATGTAGCCCAGGTTGGCCTTGAACTCTAAACCCTCCTACCTCAACCTCCCTGATGTTGGAGTTACAAGAATGTACAGCCACACCCGGCATTGGCCTTCTTGAGTGGACACTATAGCCAGGAGGTAGAGCTAGTCTGTCTTTCTCACATTCTCCTTGACACTGGCCATAATGAGCTATCATTACCAAAATCCAAAGCCGAACTTTCTGGGAAATAAGGAAAGATTTTTTGATTTCCAAAAGGGATTTCTGGTTGCTAGTACTGCTGTTTCAACAGGCGTTGTAATGTTCAGCAAGTATATGTCTCCAAATTAAAAAAAAAAAGATAAATATGAGTTAATTACAAATTATTGAGCTTTTCTTGTAATTCAAAGTTTGGGACATGGTGTCTTAATATAAGGATATCAAGAGATATAAATAACTTAGATTTGGGCTAAAGTTTAGGAAGCTACATCATTATATTTGAACATTTGAGCTACTAGTGAATCCAACGTAGCTCATACCATTTGAATTATGTAGGAATGATGTAATGAAGTCCTTTCCAAAAATTCCTGACAAGGCTAAACATATTTGCCACATGGGGTAACAACATTGGATCATACTGAATTCTGAAAGAATAGAAACTATGTATTATTTGCAAAAGGAGGTAGGACCAGCCACTTGATGTGACTGACTTCAAGTCTGGGTTATTGCTAGGTCCTTTTCAGTGCTGTTCTCAAGTCTGTAGAGGTAGACAGAGCATTAAGAAATGATGTCAACAGTCTCTATCCTGGAAAGCTTTGACAAGTGTAAGGGCAGGAATTGCTGCATGCTTTCTGTAAAGGTAGCTGGACAGATTTACGTAACTCCTTGAAATTAAGGGCCATACTAACTTGTAGGTACAGGCCTCAACAAATCTTTTCTCATTGCATTAAAGGAACTTAAATTAGAGCATATAACTCATATTTTAGACTCGTAATAATTACTAACTCTCCCTGCCGTCAATCTAAAATTTCTAGTGCGTATACTTACTTATGAAGTTCAGAAATTCCACAGTAGACAGATTTTGATTGTCTCCATCCTTTTTAAATGTATTTTGAAAAACTTCGTAAACTGGGGAGATTTCTGCATGTAATAAGCCATTTTATTCTTATACGGCTGCAAGAGCACATGTTAAAAAGCAAAGCAATGATTTTAGATGTTTGCCTGGACTGCTGTAAACCTCACTGCTGAAGTCTGTGAGCCATGTATTCCAGGAATGAAGTGTTATTTCCAAGTATATTCCAGGATAAGTTGTGTCCATCATGTATGTGTTACACCCAATATTTTATTAATTTTGATTCAAGAATTTTATGCAATATATTTTGATCATATTCAGATCCCTTGCCTTATCTGTGCCCCTCTTATAGCTCTCCTCCCCACTGGATTTCATGCATTCTGTCATATATGTCAAGGCCTGCTGAGCCAAGTCTATGTCCCCAAATGTTCTTGTATGTGTCCCCCACTTCATTATTCTCTATTAGCATTTAAAAACCCCATCCATCTTACAAAACACATCTAAACTGGGTGCCAGAGAGATCATATCTCACTAGAATGTCAGTGACCTGTAATTCTTACATACAGATGTGCCAAAGGGCAGGCCCATTCCCTTTCCCTTGTATGTGGTTTTAGATCAGATTACACCCAGGTTTCTTGGAATGGAGTTTTCACACTTGTCTGTTTCTCCTCCACACTGTCTGGTGTTGTTGAGTAGGGACTTCTCTCTTCCTCAGATCAGAAGCGCTTGAGTTTCCTTATCAAAGTCAGTTATTTGTAGCCCGGGTACATGCAGGCTACACTTTGGCGGTCCCAGGGTCTCACTCAGCACAATCACACCACTGTGGTCCAAAGTATTCTCCAACAGATTGACTTCCCATAGGGTTTTACTGGGGGTAAAGGAGAAGCAAGGGCCTCACAGCAGGCACCCAGTTTTTGTAAGCTTTCCCCTTGGAATTTTCTGTGATTCTCATTCTGCTTTAGACTGTACCCACCTTTTTATTTTTATTCAGGTATAATGAACCCAACAGATCAGGAGCAGATTGCTAGTAAGAAGATAGTTATTGCTCAGGCATGTCCAAGAGGAAGGGCCACACTGTGCCAAACAGGCTGTTGGGAGAAGCTTCAGGGTCCACTGCCAGACAGAAGGGGAAGGGTAGTTCCCAGATTAGAGCCTACATTGCAAGGTTTGAGTGTCAACATAAATAAGGAAGGGTTTGCAAGCTGATAAATCTTGGGATGGAAGAGTTTGGATAATTTCTGAGGTTTCTAGGTTTTAGGGCTGTTCTCCTTATCTGATAACCGGCCCTAAGGGGATATAGGGTGGGTAGATACTACCCTACCCTATAGGGGGAATGTAATAAAAGACTGAAGGGAACACAGATTTAGGTGGGTTCGTTTGCATATCAAAGGCATACTTCCAGGCACATAATTGTGTACCTCAGGAAATTAGCTAACCTTGTTAGTTCCTCACCAGGCCTATAAGGCTTCCTATAATATATATAATATAAAATGCAAAACTTTTTAGCAACATGATTAATACATACGCCTTGGTGCACACTACAATGGGTAAGAGAAGAGATAAAGGGCTCTTTCAAAGAGGGGAAATTTTTCAGCCTTAGGTTTATAGCTAGGCATGGCATACTGTTAAAATAGCAAGAATTTCACACTTAATACTTAAGTTATGGAGAGCAGGCTGAGTCTGAATTGACAAATATTACAGGTGTGGAGATATTTTCTTGGATGGTAGAAAAAAGCACATCCAAGGGGAAAGTTCTGAATGGTGAGACAAAAGATCACAGAAAATTCTTTTGCAATTCTGTTACTCAGCTGTGTTTTTCCAAAGCCTTTTGCTCTTTATGATCCAGTAGGCTAGGTACAGATAGCTGCTTCAGTCTTCTGAGACAGATGGAGAAATAAGTGACTAGCAAAGGTTTAGTTTAATGGCTTCTATTTGTCTTTCTAACTGGCAGATGGCCTGGGTTCTCTCCTACCCTGTAATTTCCACTCAGTTCTGTCTGTATAGCTCCCTTCAACATCCTCTATGGTTGGTTTTGATTGATTCCTGGAATTATTCTAAATGTGATCTCTTTTTAAAGATGTACTTTTATTTTTATTCACATATGTATGGTATGTGTGTGAACCTGTGTGTTTACTACATGTGTGAGGGTGCCTATGAGGCTAGACGATAGCATCAGATCCCCTGGAGCTAGAGTTGTGAGCCATCCGGTGCGGGTGTTGGGAACTGAACTCCAGTCTTCTGGAAGGGCAGGAAGCAAGCACCCCTAACCTCTGAGCCATCTCTCTAGCCCCATGCTGATTTTCTTATTGTGATTATTATCTGGAATCATTGACGTGATTTGGCACCCACTTTGTGGGAAACATCCACCAATTCTATAGCATCTACCTTATCAGGAGACTTGGCATCACCTGACAAATGTGCCCATATGTTCTAGTTTAGCAGGAAAGGCATTACTTTTCTCGCACATAGGTCTGGGATTGGGCAGGCTAGGTGTAGTAGGCAGCATCATAAAATCTTCATAAACAAAAGCTGGCTTTTCATCACTTAGTTATTCCTAGGCTGTGTTTTTTGTCTGTGTGGTCCAGCAAAATAGACATGCCTAGCTGCAAGGGCAGCTAGAAAATTTAAGGCTCTTGTTTCAAACTGGACATAGAGTGTCCTCAAATAAAATTCTGTGAAAGGAAGCTGGCACTAGCAATTAGCAATCCTTCATACCGACCAAATCAGAATTCCGAGAGCTTGAAATGTTGTCATCTATCAAACACTGTGGATGATCCCAATTTATATTAAAGTTGAGAAGTATTGTTCTATCTTTGGCTTTGCTGTACCCTGGCAACACACCCACATTCTCACTACATTCCAGGAACTCTCCACTTACTCAGACAACCTGCGTGGCATCCACAGTCCTGCACACTCACACCCTCCTGGCCCCTTCACTTCCTTTCTCAGATTCACAGCACTCCTACAGGTGCCATCATGCCATCCTCTTGTGGTGTGGCCACTTCAGGAGTCTTTCATGGTAGCCACTAAATGGATGCAAGGGCAATTTACTAGGCAGAGACAAGGTACTTTTTGCTCCCATTGAATACATTTATTTAAAACATTAGGGCCAGTGTCATAATCATATAAAACTATTGTGCATCCAGACACCAATCAGCAAGGTATTTTGCTTTGCGTAGATAACGATCCTCTGTAATCTATGATTGGCGACTGCCTGTTGGAAGTTCTTCATCTCTGAAATATATCAAAAGACTTAAAAAATTTTCTTTTAAAGATTTTCCATTTGCTAATTAGAAACTGTACATTCTTAGTAAGTTTGGTTGAGTAATAATGTGTAGCTTGTTAATTCTCAGAGGATAGAGAAAAGGTGAGTTTTTAAAATTAGGAAAACTAAGTAGCATTTCATTCTATTGTTTTTATCTGGTTTAAATTGGGAAATTTATATTTTGAATTTCAATTAACATTATTACACGTGTAGACTCTCAAGTGGGAAGCGTGACTATAAAGTACTGAGGAAAAACATTAAAAACTAAAGCAAAAGCTGTGATGAAATTTCCAAGAGCAAGTTTCTCTGACTTGTGTTTCTGATAGCAGTAGAATGTAGTATTTTCTTTATCAAACCTGAAGGGAAATGCATCCATTGTTAAGATTTTCATCAACTTTAAAGACATAGGGCAAAATATTTTGTGTATTTTTTAACTGAATTGGAATACTTATTCTTGAAAACATACCACTTTTATTGTTTCATCCTCCTCAATGTCATTAATGTTGAGTACTTCCAAATACTACGATTTTTCAGTTCTTTTGCCAGCTTAGGTATTTTAAGATTTGTGCATTTGCGTATATAAGAGGCTGTACACTCCTGCACACTCACACCCTCCTGGCCCCTTCACTTCCTTTCTCAGATTCACAGCACTCCTACAAGTGCCATCATGCCATCCTCCTGAGGTGTGGCCACCTCAGGAGTCTTTCCTGGTAGCCACTAAATGGATGCAAAGGCAATTTACTAGACAGAGACAAGATACTTTTTGCTCCCATTGAATACATTTATTTAAAGCGTTAGAGCCAATGTCATAATCATATAAAACTACTGTGTGTTCAAGACACCAATCAGCAAGGTATTTTGCTTTGCATAGATAATGATCCTCTGTAATCGATGATTGGAGATTGCCTGTTGGAAGTTCTTCATCTCTGGAGCCCGTATAACTATCTCTGTTCTAATTCTGTTCATCTTTCATGCTTGCCAAGATTTCAAGTTATAATCAAGATGCCTTCCTCCAGAGAAGGGAGTGGCACATTGTTTAAGAGACAAAACATTTTGAGAGTCACTGAAAATGTGCAGTCAATATGTCAGCAGCTGTGCAGATGACAAAGGCTGTCCCGGGTATCAGAGTGGGTGATGTGCTCTGTAACAGGGATCTTCCTTGAGCAACTACAGAAAGGCACAGGAAAAAGTTGTGGCCACAAAGTAGCACTATGCTGTCCTCCAGGCAGTCAGTCAGCTACTGATACGAAGAACCTCTTTTGTCACACAAGGCACACGCAGAAATGTCTATTCCAGCAAATTTCTGGATAACAGCTTAGCTGGGACAGTAAATCAGTCAGTTTAGGGAATCTGAGTAATGTTCTCTCCATGAGACTCCATTCCCTCATTTGTAAAATAAGAGCAGGAGGAGTAACTGGGTGATCCCATGTGCTTCCTAGTTTGGGTCTGTAATGACTATTCTAGCACTGTTCGAAGAAGATGCTGTTGGCCAGTGCTCTTCCTAAACTATGTGAACTTGTTCAAAAACTTTTTAAGAGGGTGATTCCCCAGGCTCTGATCAGTTACTGTAGCACTACAAGCCTTAACTCTGAACACAGACAGAACCCCACAGAAGCAAAACTCACTGAGCTTCATAACTGTTAAGGACTGACTTCTTCCTTACCCAGCTGTTTCCTATCACAAGACTCCTTCAGGACCCAGCCCAGGCAATTCAGCAGAGCAAGGGTTGCCCGCCTTCTGGTAAAGTATTTGTTCTCATGTTTTTTATTGGTTTATTAATCAGGTCTTTATCTTCTTATTTGGGAGTCTTCCAGTGCAAATTTTCACTAGATAGGTGATTGACATTTGATCTCCCTGTCAGTTCCTTTCCATCTCACTTGCTTAATTGTATAACTGACACTTCTTTGAGTTAACACATAGTTGTTTTTAAAAAGTAGAGTTTCTGATGTGAAGGCTGTCAGGGAGATTTTAATCCTAACCTTGGCATTTGGGGGAAGCTATTTGACATTTCTAAGGCAACATGTCGTCCTCTAAAATTCCTCCCCATAGACATTTCTGATTTTGTATGATGTATCAGAAAGGGCTTATGAGTACATCTTTTAATATCACTTGGGAGCATCAAGAGAAAAATTGAGACTTTCAGGAGATTCACTAAAAAATGGGTGTTACTAAAACTCAATAGCTCTTTGTAACATATGGATATTTATTCCTTTACTAGTTTGGTACCCTGTCTTTATGAAATTCAAAGGATGGTCCAAAGAAATACTTTTTTAGAATTATGCAGTTATCCCAAATTATTAATCCTTCAATCTTTCTTAACCTAAGACTATGCTAACGGGGCCAATTACCCTTGTTGCTGCAGTCTCCTTGTGTTCGGTAATTGCAGGTCCTCACAAAGAATTTTTAAACATAGGCTTACTAGTAGTAATTAAAATCTAAACACCTTTGATGTATCTGTCTAGGCATTTTAAAAGAATTGGTGACCTTGTCTTCGAACTGTTAAAATATTGTAGGTGAACATGCCTATATGATTGTTAAATGTGAGTTTATGAAGAAAGGTACAATGCTAACTTTTCATAAATTCCAGTATTATGATCAAATGAATTATCCAACTGACCTAAAATAAGATTATATCATCAATAAAATATGAACATGGGAGTTCATGATATGTGACCACTTGTTATAATGAAGTTCAAACATTTGGGATCATATGAAGAATCACAAGTGAAAGCAATATTTAAAATTATATCTTGCCATTGGAGAATCTGGAAGAGATAAAATATGCAGCTTGGAGTAGCTTTGCATTTTTGCAAAATGAAAAAAATCATCAAATGTAGATAAAGCATGTGCCTCATCATGTGTTTTAAAAGGGAAGTGTATTATAATAATGCCTTTATCATAAATCAAAGAGTGATAATCTTGGAATCTCACTGGCTGCCATTTGTTCTCCCCTCTGAATATAGTCAGTAATTTGGCAGCCTGAAGGCATGTGCTTAAGCCCTCAAGGCAACTGCAAGGTAGTTCAGAATCTTAGACACATAGACTTGACAGAGTTCAAAGGCTTGTCTCCTTTAGTCAGCATCACTGTGATCTGGACAGTCAGCATCACTGTGATCTGAACGAAATATCTTTTTGCTCACTTTTTCATGTGTCAGATGAAGACTGATGTCCTTCTTACAGAAAAGATTAACTTGGCAGCAGCTAGTAAGAGGATGATTTGCCATGCTGTCTGGGTGTGTAGACAGTGCTGTATTTGAGTTGCAGAATTTACTCAGAATTTAACAGAAGTTAAACTCTTTTAAAAGGAAAGAGTTGAGCCTTCTGATAATCATACAACCAGTTCCACTTCTTGTTCTAAAAGTGTAGATTTTCAAGCCTCTGCTTCTTGGAGGAGAGCAATTGGGTATCGAGTCAACAGCAGGTGGGTATAGACTAGAGATGTGAGGGAGAGATGGACTGAGATCATGCGCTGCTTTATCTCCTGTCCAGTCCTGATATGTTGACCAGCTTTTTACCACTGCGCTTATCTCCTTTGCTACAAGCTTCAGTTCATTCTATTCTTGTGTCTTCCCGCTTTCTTCTTCTCATATCTCCCTCCTCTTAGACTAGGGAAAAATAAATAAGAAATGGCCAACTTTGTAGCCTTCAGTATTGGCTTCCAGACATTTAAGGTGAACGTGTTGTACATATAACTAATTACGTGTGTCAATAAATTATCATCATTTTTGCTGTATAGGTCCACATGAGGACTTGTGGTTCTGTGTGGATGTCCTTAAGGCCAGCAGTTTATACTGTGCTGGGAGGTGCTTCTTTCCTGTATTGTTTTTAGAATCACTGGACTCATACCTAAATATGACTCTTTGCATTATGACTGTTTAAACTGCTTTTGTATTCATTTCTAGGGCAGGAGCGGTTTGGTAACATGACCCGAGTGTACTACAAGGAAGCTGTTGGTGCATTTGTAGTCTTTGATCTATCAAGAAGTTCCACGTTTGAGGCCGTCTTAAAATGGAAAAGTGATCTGGATAGTAAAGTTCACCTTCCCAATGGCAACCCTATTCCTGCTGTCCTCCTTGCTAATAAATGTGACCAGAAGAGGGACAGTAGCCAAAGCCCTTCCCAGCTGGACCAATTCTGCAAAGACCATGGCTTCACTGGATGGTTTGAAACCTCTGCCAAGGTGAGATCACTTTGCTGGTAAATCTGCTTCTGATGCCCTTGTCAAGCTGATTGGAACATTAAGTATTTAGGTGGATTTCTGTGAGTGTTTTTGTAAGCCCAGAAAGGCACAGCATGGATGGCACAGTCTTCCCTGTTCGGCAATAGGAATACTTTCAAAGTTTCTGATAGAATGAAAGGGCAGATTTTTATAATAAAATAAAAATGAACTGTTTATTAGAGAAAAAATATCACGTGCCATTTTCTGGGTCTGGGTTCTTTGCCAAAGCTCTTCTCTCATCGGACTGGAATGAGTGGGACATGAGGTGTATTGTCCAAAACACGGGCTTTCTGACTTGCAAAAGGCAAAGAAATACAGGGAAATGCCCATGGCAGGTGAGTATGAGATGCAGGACTCAAATTGAAGTGTCAGCTAAAAGATGGGGTTAACTGGAAAAGATCTGAGCAAGAACAGAAAGTCAACCTTTGTGACTCGCTTCTTCACGAATAGTTGAAATATTTTATTTATTTTTATTGTATGCATGTATTGCCTGCATACACATAAGTGCACCCGTGTTGTGCAGTGCCCACAGAAGCCAGAAGAGGGCGTTGAATCCTCTGGAACTAGAGTCATTGTCAGTTGTTAGCCATCATGTGGGTTCTGGGATTTGAACCTGGGTCCTCTGAAAGAGCAGCCAGTGCTCTTAACCACTGAGCTCTCTCTTCAGTCCCCTTCCCGAATAAATGAATGTTTTTCTTCTGTCATTGGGAAATGGATTCTTTATTTTTAGACAGTAAATCATTAAGGTAGATTATGAAAAGCTTAGCCATATAGATATTCTGGAAAGCCATGGTGAAAACAGAATCATACCATACTGGAGGACTGTGTACACTGGGATTTTCACATAAGAGGATTCATAACAGATTTATGTAAAAATGATTATGATGCCTGAGAAATTCAGTGATAAGCAGTAACTCATAAATTTGTATATTCTTAACACAGTTCCAGCTTACAATATATGTGGTGTAATGTATGTATACTTCATGTGTGTGTATGTGTGTGTGTCTGTGTGTCTGTGTGTGTGTGTGTGTTTGTATGTATACATAATTGTTCCTCGAAATTTCCTTCCTTCAAGATTTTGAGACCTCCTGTCCTGTTATTTTTAGCTTTTCTAGCAATTTATCCTCAAGCAGGGAGATGATTTGATGTCGCTGCTCATCAAAATGATGAAAGCAAGTGATGAGAGACTGCACCACAGGGCAGCCTCAAAGTATTGAGTGATGGTAGAGTCACTGGCAAAAGAATGTCTCCTGGAGGCAGAGGTGAGCTGCCCTAGCTGTCCACTGCTTCAATAAATACGGCAGCTTACTTAGCTTCATAGACAGATAGTTGTGATAGAGCCCGGAGGTGTTGTGTGAGTAATTTAACCTAGTCGGAAGAAGTCTCAGAAGGAAAGGAATCATGTAGAGATGGAAGTTTTCTATGTCTCTCTCTGCTCAGCATGTCTGCTGGGCAATTTGTTTTGACTTCCTAGCTCCATTGGGGGAAAACATAACTGTATTTGCAACTCTTTCTGTAAGCATGTAACTTGGTTGAAGAATTTCCTGTACTGCACCTGAAATTCCATGTTAGGATTTATTTGAATTCATCTTCCAGATAATAAATTTAAATTTTATACAAAAATCTCCCTGGGGCTAGAGAGATGGCTCAGCAGTTAAGAGCACTGACTGCTCTTGCCGAAGACCTGGGTTCGATTCCCAGCACCCACATGGCAGCTGCAAACCGTCCTTAACTCCAGTTCCAAGGGAATCCGAAGCCCTCTTCTGACCTCTGTGGCATTGTACGACACGGGTGCACTCACATACATGCAGATAGCACATAAAATAAAAAATAAACAGTAAATAAAATATTAAAATATTTTTAAAGATCTGCCTGTAAAATTCTCCAATAATGGCGTTATATGACCTGTAATTTGAGATTGTTTAAGTAATTTTTTTATATTTATAGACAAAATGCCATGTATGGGAGAGAGAAAAAAAGCAGTTAAAAGTGAAGATTTCATTTATGTTCTGTTCTTCCCTGCAAATGCTTAGCAAGAATTTCTACCTGATTTCCTATGTGGTAATTCAGGAATCTTCTTAGAGTATAACCTTACTATGATTTTTTTTAGTTAAAATTTTCTAAAAAGAAAATTGAGTCAAGGCTTAAAGTACTGCCAGGCATTACTAAGAGGTTTGCTTCTGGGCTGGCTAGCGACTAATTTTTCACATCTGGAATTTGCTTGAATTTCGGTGCTCGAAATTCTAATAACCAATAGATACTTTTCAGTGGGTTTAATCTTTTCTCCTTTGTAGCACAGAATGGATTTTAGATGAAGCTTTGTAACTCATTTCACCATATTATGGGAGTTTCTGTTCGTTCTTGATTGTGACTAAATGTTTGCACAGAACCTTCTAGCTATTGCTGTGGTGAGAACGAGGAGAACTGAATGACACATGTACACATTCAAAGATCCTTGCTTGCATTAAAGTTAAACTTACCTTGGGAGCAACGGGATAAAAGCTGTCAGTGCTGTGTTCAAGCCTAAACAAAAGCATCGCTCCTCTGGAGTTCCCTCTGTCTGTGAAAGGCTATAGAAACAAGGGCCTGAGCCACAATGCATCGCTTGGTGTTTTCGAATTTGATTGGAGACATTAATATAAATATTAAGCTTCATATATGTAAATACATGTGTGTTCACATTTGTGCATTTATTTTTGTATATAGTGATAGCCATATAAACAGAGAGGTAAGTGTAGATGTGTGTATGTATATATGCATATATTTACTAGCTCTGTCTACTGAGAGGGCTTGAGAGTAATGACACTATAAAATGAATGAATTTCCTCAACCTCAGAGGCTGGTTTATGAATAAAATTTTTAAATAAAAGGAATGAAGTTACCTGGAGAAATAATTGATTGCACAGCTGACGGGATTAGAAAGTAAAGACGTGCCTGAGATATTTTGTGGTATCAGAAACTAAGGAGGCATTCACAAGACAATATAAACATATCACAGAGAACATGGCAGCCTGCTTATAGAAGCTCCAAAATTACAAGACAATTAGAGCCACAAAGTAACGAATTACTGTAATGAGTTTAGTGGATAGAACTGAATAGCAGTCCATGATGTGCATAAACAAATGTTAAATGCACAGAGAAGAGAACATTTTCCTAACAGCACAGGAAAAGCTCAGCTAATGTAGAAGGAGTGATGGAAATAAAAAGACACTATTAAATACCACAGTGACAACTGCCTTGGAGGAGAATTCATAGATGCTAAAGTTAGTAAGGAAAAGTATAGGTGCAGGATATTTGCATATCTGTATTCACTCAGTGCGATGAGGAAAGTGCAACTTTGTAGTAAGAAGCCTGGCAGCTTTAATCCAGGATGTCTCCTGGACTCCAAGAACACAAAATCCTGTCTCCTTCCTACCAAGACTGCAAAACTTGATGCTGATCAGAAAGAAACATTAGGTAAACACTGACTCCTGGCTAGTCTTTCATTAATGTTCTCTAAGATTGTCAGATAAGGTCATAAAAGGCAAAAAGTCTTGGGAAATATTCCAGTTTAAAGGAAATGTGGGAGGAAACCAGGGAGACCTGAAAACAAAATACATCAGGAGAAGGGTCTTTTGATAATTGCTGAAATTTAAATATGGCTGATAGTTCGATATGGACACTGTGGGTATTATTACCTAATTTCCTGATTTCAGCAATTATACTGGCTTCTCTAAGCTGTTAATCTTTGATGAGCATAGGTAAAGAGAACACAGGAATTTTTACAATTTTTTTCAATAATAAATTTGAAATGATTTTAAAATTAACTCAATATTTCAAAGTAAGCCCAATATTTGCTATGTTACTTACTGTGTACTTCATATCACTGTGTAACACAGCTGCATAGATGTGCACAATGATTCTTTTGGCAAACCTTAGTGGACATCACACACAGTATCATTTCAAACTAATCTGTGTGTGAAAAGTAATCATTCGTACTTCAGTGGAGAAGAAGCTCGATGTGTGGAATGATGTGATTTTACCCCTTTTAAACTTTTCTTCACAATGCATGCTGAATAGTTGAAATACATATTTAGGGAGGTGATCTTCCCCTACATGTGTGTAGAGAAAAGGGAGGTTCTTTTCCAGATATTTCATTAAAACTTGGGGGTCAAAAGAAGATTAAAAAGTGTGTGCATGGTAGGAAGAAGACAGTCCTTCCCAGGTCATGTCGGGGGAGGAGCTCCGTTTCCTTCAGTCAGTGCTGTAGCTACTGGAAAGTTGCCTCTGTTCCAGTAAATAACCTCCCACCCACTCTTGGGCAAACAACCCTAATTAAACTCTGTGAATCATACACAGAAAATTACATGACAGTAAGAGGGGCTGTCTTGGGAAAAAGAAGGGCTTAGGGGAAAGGGGGAGAGGAAGATGAGACAGGGTGATGAGAGAGAAAATAATAAAATTCCTTCTATATGTTTATGAAGCTGTTAAAGAATAAATGAATGGCTAAACAAATGCCTTGAATGGTTAGTGTGCAGACACTAGTGTTGGGGAAAACAGTAGCTGGTGTGCTTCCAGTGCTCACTCTGGCAAGCCATGCTTGTGACTTTAATACTCTCAACATTTACTTCCAAGAGCAGAGGCCAAGGCTAAGCCTGTTCTGTCCTTCGTGTTGCAGGATAACATAAACATAGACGAAGCCACCAGGTTCCTAGTGGAGAACATCCTTGCAAATGACCAAAACTTTCCTAGAGAAGAAAACGACATGGACAAAATTAAACTGGGTGAGGAGCCCTTCACAACCAAACCCAGATCTCAGTGCTGCTGATGTGCTCCAGTTCCCAGTATGTCTGCCTCCATGGTCCTCAGTGTGTGTTCCAGAATGTTCCCAGTGCCACTGTTTCCCATGAATTGCCCTCAGGTGTCCTCAGGGCCCGCTGCTCATCTGAAGATGGAATAGGTCGGGAGAACTATTTCCACCAGAGGCTGTGCAACTTACTAGATGACCCCAGGCCTTTTTTTGTGCTGCCAAATGGGGGATACTGTTTACTGCCTTCAAAACATCTTTGCAAATCACTTCCAAGTGGTAGCTGTTCATATCAGCACTGGGGTGATAATGCAACTACCCTGTACTGTTCCCAACATGTTGGGTCATTGTCTTTGTCCCCATATGCATCTACCCAGGAATTCTTTAGACAGTTCACCAAAAAGACTCAAAGGTCCTTTGGAGCTATTTCCTATTTAAAACTTTGGTACTTCATGTAAAATTTTCATCCTTAAATAATATGATTTCAGAAGTCATGATTGGTAATAATATAGTCATGTTAAACCACTAAGATACCCTTCCTAATTAGTCAAAAAGCACTGGGCTAGGGAGGTAGCTCAATGCTGGAGTGTTTGCCTAGAATGTGATGTGCTCTGGGTCTGTGGTACTGGAAAAAGAAATGTTCATACTATATCTGTATTATGGGCATCTCCCTCTGGATCCAGTGGCTACCACTTAGGAACAACATAAATGATCATTTCTTATCTCTTCTCTATTCTGTGTGTCTGTGTTTAAAACCAGGAGCCTTATTGCTATTACACTTGTACTTCTCACTAAGTGGAACTTTTCTTTCTAAATCTGTTATAGTCAAGGAGAGAATTTTTTTTCAAAGCATATGCAATTTATTTGTTTGTATACTATGACAGATGAAAAAAACACACTATGTATCATTCTGTATAAGGTGTTGGACATTTGTTGTATAAGGCCTGAGAAACCTAAGGCCTATTCATGACATTTGTATTTCATTTAATCCAATGAAAGAACAGAATAAATATTTTAACCTAAGCCTGTGTTTTGAATTAATGCTCTTTTTGTCTCAGAAGGCACTTTCTGCCTTTGCAAACTTTGTGTTTGAAGCTGGGATAGTGGCTGACACCTGTAATCCTAACAGGAGGCAGAAGAAAAAAGATCAGGGGTTCAAGGCCAATCTTGACTGCATAACAAGTTCGTGACCAACTTCTCAAAAAATTTAAAAATTGCAAACTTTGTTCACTGTTGATTTTTATTTTTAAGGAGCTTTATCATATTTATCTGAAATTTCAACTTCTGTCAGGGGTATAGAGAGCTTTCATATCATAATCTAAAGCTGATGCAAAAGGACACATGGAACACTGGACATGTTTGTCTTACAGATTATGGAAGAACCGTGAATTCACAGAGAACACTGGAAAAACTAACACAGAAATGCATTTGTTCTGACTGGTGTGTTCTGGGAAAAAAGAAGTAATCTTAGGCTAGAAAGCACTGCTCTCTTTTTTCACCAAACTTAAGCCTTGCCTAGAAATCACAAGTGTGATTACATGCTATATATTTAAGTAAACAAAATCACGTTATATCTGGATATATCTTCGTAGAGTCAGGTTTTTCTGAAGTGAAGGAATAGAATACCAGCATTTTTGTAGTGCATATAACTTAACGCCACCTTTTTAATATATTAAGTCCTGTTTTCTGAGTCATAAATGTCATATTCTGTATAATGTCTGTGATAATTCTTAGCCTATGAGATACTCTTAAGAACAGACAGTACCTTACAGAACTGATTTCAGTAAACCTGAATTCTGTGTCAGTGTGAGGTAGTTTATGTTTAGTCCTCTCCACAGTTTAGAAATAGAATTTTTAATCATTTTGCTTTGGTCCTAAATTATTTCTATATTTTTGTTATTTTAATATAAAATTTGAATTCAGGATAAGTTATATAAGTGACCAAAAGAAAGAATAGACTATTGGGTTCCCCTATACACTTCAAAAATCAGTTGTACATTTAGAGGCTGGAGAAATGGCTCATCAGTTAAGAGTACTGATTGCTCTTGCAGAGGACCTGGGTTCCATTCCCAGCACCCACATGGCAACTAACAGCCATCCATACCTCCAGTTCCAGGGGATCTGACGCCCTCTTCTGGCCCTTGCAGGCACTACACATGCATAGTGCACTATATTGATACATTGAAAACACTTATAAACACTTTAATATAAAAATAATTAAATAAAAATTTTAAAATAGGTTGTACATTTAAACACACACCTGAGCTCAGACACTGGTGTAAAGTTCAAAATAGCTCATCAATTACAAGGTGATGCGCCTCTTTTTTCCATGAGCTTAGACATCAAGATGTCGTCAGTTTTCCTGACTGTCATGTGCAGGTCCTTTAACCTAACAGTGTTTCTAAGAGAGATTGCTATCAAAAGCTGTGGCTTCCCAAAGTTCTTTTTTTCTTCAGATCTGTCTATGAAGCATTGGAATTGCTTAATGAAAATTCCTGAGCATCACTTCAGACTTGTTGAGTTTGTTTTCTAAGGATAGAGTTTAGAAATACACTCTTACGGTAAACCTGATGTCTAGTTTGACACCTCCCATGCTAAGTAGCCATGCTAAAGAGTTATTCATTTTGAAGCCTGTAGTGATGCACAGACCATGAACATCTTTAAAATACAGCACTTAGCTTTACACTTTAAATTATTATCATTACAAAGTCTGAATACGTTAGAAAACATAGAAATTTGCTTTCATCTACTGAAATTAACAGAGACTTAAGGTTTCTGCTACCACTGATTAGCAATTTGAAAAAAAGTCAAGACCATTCTTCAAACTTACTTCTTCCCAAAATGATATAATATCAAAATGAGCTTAAATGTGAGAATAAGAAATCAAACTCCAAAAGTTTTAGCCCTTTTGGAAAAAAATGATGTTAAGATAATCCTTTACCCTTCTCAAGTGCTGAAAGCCGAAGATGAAGTCAGACTTGCTTAATTACACAAGAATAAAATAAAGAGTATCTAAGAAGAAATAGCATGAAATGAAAAAAAAATATTTGTCATCTATTTGCTTAGGTAGGAATTAAAAGGCAGAATGATAACAAAAAATGAGTAAAAATGGACAAAGAATGTAAAGTCAGCATGTGTGTATGTGTTCTGTGTGCATGTACAAACCCATGTGTGCTTACACACAGAGGTCAGAGAGAGAATTGGGTGTCCGGATCTATTGCTCCTCTGTCCTATTCCCTTGAGACGTGATCTTTTGCTGAATCCGGAGCTCTCAATTTTAGGGGATGCCTAGGCAAGTTCCAGTCGCCCACTGAATCATGTTCACACCCAGCTTTTACCCGTGGATCAAGTCAGGTCCTTGTGCTTGGGTTGCAAGCATCTATACCCATTCAGCCACCTCCTCAGTCCCCAAACCAGTGTTCTTTTCAGAAGTAACTCATGTCAAATACTAGTCATCAGGAGCTACAGAGACAGCTGAGTGGGTAAGAGCCCTTGCTGTGCAAGCATGAGGACATGAGCTTCGCTCCAGCATACAGGTAAAAATTTGGTTGTGGGCATGGGCCTGATTTGGTGCACCTGTAACCTCAGACACAGGAGGATCCCTGGGGCTTGCTGGCTGCCAGGCCCCCATGTCAATGACAGGTTTTCTCAGAGGAATAAGGGGGAGAGTGATAGAGTGGGACTTTCAACATCCTCCTCTGGCATCTGTGAACACAGTCCTCTGCTTACAAAGGCACACATGCATATACACCATACATATCATACACATATATGCACACACACATACATGTACATACACATACACACACACACACACACACACACACACACACACACACACACAGAATCACACAGAGAACAATTTTTAAAAAAAAGAAATGGGAGCTGTGGAGATGGTCCAGTGAATAAAGCACTTGCAGCACAAGGACCAGAGGTTAGAAACCCCTAAAAAGCAAGGCAGGCTGGGGTCCACCTGAAATTTCAGCACTTGGGAGGCAGAGACAGGGGATCCCCCAGAGCAAGCCGGCTAGCTAGACTATCCAGAGTTGGAAAGCCCTGAGGCCCTGAGTTCAGCAAGATACCTTGCCTCAATAACTAAAGTGGACAGAGATCAAGGACAATACCTGACATGTGCACATGCACCCACATGAGCATGCGCACCTATATACATGTGAACACTCGCACACATGTGTATGCATGCCACACACACAGGCAAATATTTTTTAATTGATCAAGAAATAAAGTAATATGTTGTCGGATTAATAAAAAATGTGTTAGTTTAATTATATCCTTTGGTTATATCCTTAATGTTGAGATCATAGGTAGTCTTAATCAGCTGTTAGACTAAATTTATCTTATAGTTACTGCCAAATTTCCTTCCGAAACTGCTATTCCAGTTACATACCTAGTTCATGTTTTGCCAAGAAGTGAAACTCTTATTATTAGGGAAGTATAATTTTTTTAAAAATTGCTTTATTTTTGAAGAACTATTAAACCACAGTGTGAGCACATAAATGAAACATAGTCAAGTACATTGGTCAGGTTACATACAATTTTCCAAGGAAAACAGAACTAGTCCTACATCAAGATGATTTGGCATCATTTGTGAAATCCACCAGGTGATTCCGGTGCTTATCTCTGTTAACTAGCTGGTTTTATCTGAAGAGAAAAATCAGCTCGTTGTTATGACAAGTAGTTTTGTAACTTGGTACAAGGTGCCCACCAAAATTAGTTTACTACAGAAATTGTGATTACAACATGTTATCTTCTCTCATAACTGTGTCTCAAAGAATGTTCACAGGGGATCTAAAAAGCTTGGGAGAGACTAACTCAGCTTACAAAATAATTTGTCCACATTTCAGAGACACAGAATTTGACAGTTTTCTAATATAAATACTCTCACATAGGATAGGGGGAAAGTTGCTTCCTTTATTTTCAGAAGAGGAATTAAGCTTTTCGTTTTTAGTATGCGTTTGCCCTTGCTATCAACTAAGATAAGCATTTGCTCATATGTCTACATCAGTTCACTTCCTTAAGATTAAAAGCTGCACTATCCAGCTCAGAGCAAAAATATACACCTCCATTTGATGGGATGAGTTATACACCATCATCAGTGCTAGCCAACGTTCCAGAGCAGATAACTGTACAATTTAAAGAATAGACTTTATATAAAATCATATGAACAATATATTTCTTTTGTAAAAGATTCTGTTTTGAAAGATGGACATATAAAGATACAACTCCAGGGACTAGGGTTGTAGTTAGTGATAGAGTGTGTAGCCTGCATAAAACCTTGACTTCAATCCTATCACACACTCATGTACAAACACATGCACACACACACACACACATACAAAGAGAGAGAGAGAGAGAGAGAGAGAGAGAGAGAGAGAGGGAATTTTCATGTTTGATTCTTTAAATCTGTGTATATGTGAGAGAAGACAGAAATAGGGATGAAGGAGGTTGGAGGTTGGTGGGTACATACAAAGGACTGCTGCTGCTCGTTGTCTATCATGAAAATCCAATCAGTTATCTCTGAGAAGTGTCTTGAAAACCACATGGTACCATCTGACAAGTCATTTAGTATTCAAGCTTTTCCTTCAGCCAAATTAGCTTTAAAGGCATAAGTTTTCAGGCATTGGGATATAATAAATGTGATTATGTTCATTGGGAGATAGTATTCCAAGCTGTCTTCTAGGGGGATGCTTATTTGGCAGAAATTTTGGGCCATACTAGATTTACAGCTTGTATTGATAAAAATTGCTTTTTAGTCTTTACAATTATATCAATTATGATTTAATATTGTGGTTGAAGAGCCTACAGAATTTTAAAAGAACACATTTGTTTCAAATGGGGTCTTACAGTAATGGTGATTGAATCCAGCTTCAATTTCAATTCTAATTCTGTATGTTGCTTTACTTGTTTGTCTGTAAAGGTTAGCTTTTATGGATTTCTTTATATTGATTACAAACTTTTAAATACTATTAATATTTTTTCCCTTGCATAAATTTAGTGTTATAAAG